TGCATATTCAAAACTATGAGAGTTAAATCTGGTTCCTTAGAGAGAAACTTCACCTCTTTGTAATTCACTGGGGGTTTCAGACTTGAGTGACACTGACCCCTGGGCATCGCATTGTTCCACAAAGATGTGCCTGCTGAGATTCTCCGTGTGTGTGTTCATGCTTCAGCGTGTTTGGTGGGTCTGTTTTCTTCAATTTCCTACCCAGAGGCTGTTCTTTCTTTTATTCTGACACCCACAAACAAACACACTTCTGGTGCTTATAACACTGTTCTCTGTATTAAAAGAAAAATGGTCCTTTTGTTGCATCTCATCAGAAAGGTAACTGTCCTACCTGGTACTATTTTGTACTTTGGCTCATCACACATTCAACCACAGTCATTCCGGTTCAGTGAAGATACATCCAAAACATAAAACACCTTTCACACAGATGAAGGTCAGAAAAGCCTAAGCGGGGTTTATGATAGCACCACAGAAACACAAAAGCAATTTTCAAGCCAATATTGGATGAATCATTAACAATTTATGAAATGCAGTGGTCTTTTTCAAAAACTACTATGTGTGTAATATAGTTTAAAAAATTTCTCTGGATTTCACGGTGATACTTGCCGTTATTCTTTCTTAACCTACAGCCTCAGTTTTTCTGATCCCCTAGTCACTGCACACCGTCAGCATTTCCCACCCTTTGTCAGCAACCTGACCTACAAAGAGGTGAAAAAAGACCAAAAAGAGGTGCAACATGGCTGTAAAGACACACAAAAGGCCAATAAGCCGAGATAAACACTCAGAGAAAGACAAAGCAACTAGAAAGGAATGCACAACAACCACAAAGGGGTGCAAAATGACTACAAAACACTTGTGCTTTTTCAGTCTGGGGGCACCAGGACAAGGACACCACATTACCCTGATAAGAAAATGTGTCCAAGAGAACATTTCTAATAGAAAAGTGATGTGTTTTGGGGATTTTACCCACTAAAAGTCACTCCCATAACACTAGCACCTTGATAAAAAGCCACTAATACCACAGTGCAGCGTGGTGAAGGAAGAAACAGAAAAACAAGCAGCTGAAATCAAACCAAAATAAATGCCTCCAAGTGTATAAATTGCTGAATTTACTACCAGATCTTTAAATTCAGAAAAATAAAGCCTTACATGTTCACAGTGAAATCATGTTTTCTGTCATATATCTGCTGCTGGGTGAGATGATGTGTTCAATGTCCTTTTTCCTTTTCCCATCCTCACAATCTTGTCCTATTTCTCTGGGACACTGGAATACAGGCTGTACTTTGGTGCAGAAAGAGAGGTGGACACATTCGCTGGACAGCATGCACTGACCCAGAATGAAATGACAGCAGAGGAAAAAATACACACCTGTATGTGCAATGCTCCGGTTCAGTTTTTGTTCCACACACACACACACACACACACACACACCACTGCTCCTTTCATCCTGGAAAAAGATCAGCCACCTGAAGTATTGTTGGTTCTGACAGACGATAAAGGCTGCAGGGTCGAGGTGTAATAGAAGAGAAGACCCCTCTGAAATACTGTTCTTTGCTGAACCTCCAAATTGTAAATTAACCCAAGCGGCACTACAGTCATCTGTCAAACAAGGGATAGCACTGGCAGACTGGTGCATAAGAGCACCTCAAAAATACAGTGAAAATGCTCTCTTAGGAGCCCCCCAGTAGGGCAAATGTATAAATCAGGATGAAGGGCCCTATAGAGTGACTCTGTATGAGACAAGATGAAATGAAGTGCCCTCAAAGGTGTCCTTTCAGTGGAATAAAATGTGCTAATGCCCTGTAAGGTACTCCTACAAGAGAGACACATGATAAAGTGACCTTTTAAATTAAGAATGTATACTGCAGCATGCTGTGAGATGCAGTTGCAACAGGGCAATACCGAGGTCCTGTATAAGTGCTGTCATTGTCCCAGTCTATAATCTGATTTTACAACATTATTGGGAAGAGCTCCCAGATGAGAAGTGGGTATGAGCTACAGTAACCACAGGTGGCATTAGGAGTAAATCCAAGGTCTCTCAATTGCATCCTCTGTCCAAGGAGGAGTCTATTTCTGAGTCATGTTTCAGTCAACTAATAAAGGAACTGAGCAAGCACTACTGAGAGGGTGGATAAGACACCAGACTAAAGGCAAGTAAGCCCATAGCCTCACTCATCTAGCCAGGCAGCATCACTGGGGGTGTTAGGTCCCAATGCCAAGAATATGTATGCAATCACATATACTTAACCTCCAAGACAAAAACAACCATAGAGTAAATGAAAAAATGGAATGAGTGACCTTTAGAGTGCCTCCAAGTCAAATATATTCACTGTAAATTACTGCCAGGCACTACATGCTAGATGGATAGTGCCTAGGTAAATAGATACATACTTGGTCATCTCTGTACAAAATGGAAATCAGCCAATCACAGAAATCATTAAAGCATGTTTTGAACAAAAATGAGTAAATGATTTTTAAAATTACAATCTCTCGTCCTTTTCTACATATGACACAGACTGAGGGCAACTTCTGTGCCAAAGTCTGGAGTACAAGCTCTACAGAAAACATGTGATCAGAGGGAATGAGACTGCTGAAGACTGAAGATCGGGCTGCATCTAACAAAGAGAACTTGGGGAATGACAGCAAAGAAATGTGCTCTTGTGCACAGCTGAAATAACCTTTCACATGTAGTTACAATAGAGGTGAAGAATGAGAGGAAGTACTATGGCTTGGTAACGAGGACTGATGATAAGAAATGACTTGATTAATGTTCAATTTACTTCACTTCAGTGGAATGAAAAGAGCTTGGGCAAACACCAGAATAGCTTCTCTCCAGGGAAGGACCTGGTGTGTTATGTTGGGTAGAAACATCTAAAAGATGAAGGGAAATGGTATTTGTTAAAGTACTGAAATGACCAGATCTATCCAAACTCATAAGTGGAAAAACACTTAATGGCAGTAATTTCAGTCTCAAAAGGTAAAAAAATATCACTAAAGAGCTGACATTAGCCTTCACTATCAAATCAACCAGATTAAGTCCTTCAGTAGCTGATAAAATATTCTTGAAGCATATCCACTGTTGTTCCAGCTGGAAGGGAAGTGGTTTCAAAATGGCTGCTCCTGAAGTGTGGCCTAGTAATTTCAGAGGAATAAATTGTCCACTTGATACGAGTGGAAACGGATGAAGGGCTGAAAACCCTGCATACCCATTCCACACTTGCCAAAAACTCATTGCTGCCAATAGCAACCAGCTCTCTCTCCTTTTTCACTTTGAAACAGTTTTACTCTATTCTGTACATTTCAGCCTTCAACACAGTTGTATGTAACCAAACGTAATGTAAAGCTTCATTAAATTACATTTAACTATAATACAGATACTATTTTAGCTAAAGAAAACTGAGTCATCAAGCAAGGGAGCTGATTAACTTTAATGCTATGCTGAAAATATTTACATTAGCTTCTTCATTGCTACTGAGATGCTAGTACAGCTTACAAGTTTAAAAATACTAAGGTGTTCTTGTAACACATGGCAGTAATATTTTAAGTAGTAGCACTTAAAGGAGTTGAGGTCAGAAGCGCCATTTAAAGTCTAAGCACAAAGAGACAGCACAGGAAGGGAGTGAAATGCCAGCTGAAGTGTTGTTTCAGGTTTTCA